CTCAGGAATCATTCAGTAGTGACTGAATTTGTTAGTAGAAAATATAAAGAAATCAAAACACTTACCAGCTTAAAGGAACAAGACTTTGGTATTACAATAGATTTTTACAGTACATCAATTTTGCTTTTAAGTATGTCACCTGGGAGACTGACAAATTGGTGATTTTGATAGTTTTTCCCAAGTGTGATATTGTTCACAGTAAAATATTCAGAATATCAGACTCATATTCATTAATATTTTTGTCACAATATTGCTTGAACAGAATATTGTACTATCATTTAGACATACTTATGAAAAATTATCAACTGGTGTACATTTGATTTAGTATTATACTTGAGTTTACGCCATAGGCTTTTGGGACTGTGTTTTTTGATTTTACATATATCAGAATTTATATACGGTATGACATTTTTATTCAAATATTAACATTTTGATAAAGCTTTTGTCTTCTCACAGACAATGACAGATATCTAAATTGCAATTTCTTCACAGATCTTCCTAAAGAACATGGGGATCAAGAAGGGAGGCCAATAAAATGTACAAACTACGCTTACAAAGTAATTACAGAAAGAGAAATTATAAAATTTAATTTCCATGTCGGCGGGGAATAAATGCCTAAGATTGGCTCAGGAGAGCACGCTGCAGTAGTCAGCAAGTCAGTGAAAAAAAGGGGGAGTACAAATCCTCCTTGCAGTGATGGAACACATATCAAATGGGGTTTATCCTTAGAAGAAGAGGTCTCCACACTCGGTAAGAAATAACGAGAGTGGGTCTGTGACCTGAATGGACAGAGCGCTGGGAAGAACTCTCGAAGAGGTGGAGGGAACTTCCAAGGTAGAATTGTCCCTTGAAAATGGGGAAATAAGGAAGCAGATGGATATAAGGTCCCTTTTCTAATATGAGAGAGAATATAAGGGTCAAGAGACAAAAAGCAAACACAAACAAAACCAGGAAGTGTCATATATTTTAAAGGACAAATTACAATTTTATACTTCAAGTCTATTTTGGTTTGAAGAAGGAGTATTAAAGTTTCCTATAATTTATTTCTGAAATTTTCTGAGATTCATTATCAATACTAAGGGCACTCGAGTAAGTGAGCATCAGACTTCCCATTAGCAACAATGGATGTAAGAGTAAAACAATATCTACAAGGTTCATGGGGCAATAAAGTGTGGGCCAAATATGTTATATCTACCTAGGCTCTCTTTCAAGGATCAAGTCTACAGAAAAATAATGTTGAACATGAAAGAACTCTGGAAACAGTTTAACCTATGAACATTTTTAACAGGATGAACTTTACCCAAGAAGTTATGTTTGAGGAAATTTTGACAAAAATGTTAGTGCTGAGTACTGAATACTTTTCACTAGAAATTAAATATCTAATCAGAAGGGAGAAATATTTAATCATCATATTCTCTGACAAGCTAGAAAAACACAAACAAACAAAATGGGAGAATGAGAAAGAAGATAATATAAAAGAAGCCCATTGAGTGACTTGTTGGTAAAAACTGGGCATCAAATGATATACTTTAAACCAAAAAATTAGTAGGATAAATAAACCAAGCATACTTACTGCACAGATTATTAGCATTAAGAGAAATAATATTAACTAATATTGCAGGTGGAAAGGGGAGGAAAAGAATTGCAAGCTGATTTTATTCTATTTCATACTAAGAAATGAAAATACAGTGTCTGAGGAAAAAGGGAGAAGGATTAATAACGTTATATAAATTTTCTTATGAGGGTAACTACTATAAAAAATATAAATATTCCCAAATACCAAAATAAAAGCAAAAACAGGACAAAACAAACCAAAGAACATAATTAAAAAAAGCAAAAAAAAACATGACACGAAATATTTTAAGAGGGTGTATGTAATATAGAACATGTTAGTACTAAGCAAAAACATATTAGTTATATCAATAAATGTAAATAGCTGTGATAGTGGTAAATTAAAAGAGAAATACTATTTTCTCTTATAAGAGACAAGGGAAAACATGACTCCACAATGTATAAAAAAGACAGCTAAAACAAAGAAAGAATAGAAGGTGGTTTAAAGCTATAACAACAAAATGGAAAAAGAAATTTGCATCATGATTTAAGATAAGTAGACTTTAGATGGAAAATTATTAAATAAAAAAGAATTATTCTGCCATAAAAAAAGAAATCCTGCCACTTGTGATAACATGGATGGATGTAGAGGGTATTATGGTAAATGAAATAAGTCAGTTGGAGCAAGACAAATACTATATGCTTTCACTTACTTGTGGAATCTAAAAACAAAACAAAACTAAGTGAACAAAACAGCAGTAGACTCAGACACTAACAAGTGAACTGGTGGTTATCATAGGGGAGGGGTTGGAGTGAGAGGACAGGGAGGGTCAGGGGAGTAAAAAGGTGCAAAAATCTCAATCATAATATAAGTTGGTCACAGGGATGCAAGTGTAGCATGGAGAATATAGCCAATTATTCTGTAACATCTTTCAGTGTTGACAGATAGTAACTGTACTAGTTGGGGTGAGAATTTAATGTGTGTAACTGTTGAATCACTGTGTCTTATACTTGAAACCAATATAATATTGTGTATCAACTAAACCTCAATAAAACTTTAAAAACCCATACTAAGAAAAAAAAAGGAGATACCTTAGAGGCTACAGGTTAACATATAGTATAATATAAAAGTATTTAGTATTTATATGAGTATCTGTGAAATAAGTAAGACAGCAGCAATATTCATAAAACAGAAATTAACAGAGATACAAGGAAATACAGAGAGAATACCCTAATAGTGGAAAATTTTAAAACAATTGTCAAAAGCTACACCACAGATGAGTACCACGCCTAGATGATATTGCAGGGGAAACACATTTCACTTTTAAAGCCCAGATAATCCCCATACTATTTCACATTGGTATCAATGCCTGATGGAATTGCACATGAACACAAAACTTAGAGATTAGTTTCCCTAAAGAATATTGATGCAAAAATCCTAAATTAATTTTAGATAAAAAGAATCAAGTGGTTTATTACAAAGTGAAATACATCAAGTTCAATGGTGGCTTCTTCCAGGGCTGCAAGAATGGTTCCATTCTAGAGTTAGTAACTCTATTAATAAAATGTACCATAAAAATAAGGAAGCAGAATAGCACAGTCAATTCCACAGATGTTTCAAAGGCAATTTACAAATCTCAACACCCATTCTTAATAAATATGCCAGTGAAAACTCCCTTAAAATTATAAAACACACACAACTTAACCTACATGCCATCATTTGAATTAATGGGGACCACAGGTGGTAGTCACAGAAAAATCAGGGACAAGGCATGATGTTTACCATCAATTTCTTTTTCAATGGTACATTTTGGAGGTAATTTCCACACAATTAGACAAGAGAAAACCATTAGATGTATATAGTAATTAGAAAGGAAAATGTAAAACAATCTCGATCTGATATGATAGAGCATTGGAAAAACTCATGACAGCCAATGTAAAAAACCAGTGTGAACTAAGAAAACTCACTAGTGTAATAAAATACAAAATTCGTACACTCAGCAAAAGAACAGTAGCCTTAAAAATAATCAGAAAATATAATGAAAGAGAAGATCCTATTTATAATAGCAGCAAAAACAAAAAAGCTAAATGTGAAGTAGCAAACCAAACAAGGAGGAAAATGTTTATCTATTCTTGAAAGATATAAAAATAAAACCTGAAACATTAACATATATAATAATATTTTTGTATGGAATGACCCAACCTCATAAAGATGCTAATTTTCCTCAAGTTGATTTGTTAAGTTAATGTGAATCCAATAAAAATACCAGAAGACAACTTGTTTCTAAATTTCATATGAAATATTCAGTAAGAAATAATCTCAAATCACTGAAAATTATTATCAAAAGAAGCATATTGTATCAAAGATTAACTGTATATTTAAAGCAGTATGATTCTGAATGACAAATAGAACAGAAGAGAAAGTCCAGAAATACACATAAGCACACAAGCAAGTTTAGTATGTGATAAAGGTGGTATCTCCAAATACTGGTGAAAAGATTGACTTTCCAGTAAGTGATAGAACAATTGGAGAGCCCTTGATAAAATGACAAACTTACATTTTACCCTATAAGCCAAGTTAAAATTAAAATACAGCAGAGATTCTAAAAGAAAATCCATACAAGTTCTAGAAAAAAAAAGAATTTATTTGCAACCTTGGATTGGTGAGTGCTTTTCTAATTATGACTGAAAAATCCAGAATCAACAAAAAGCAGCAAGAAGATAAAAGATTAATTATTTTCTAAGAATACGACTTTCCATGTATCCTACAATTTGAAGAAAAGGACAGAAAATTTGAAAACATGTGAGACATGTCCAGTTGACAAAACAAGAAATGTCCATAATGCGTAAATATATGAGCCTCACTCATAATAAGAGAAATGTGAACTAAGACCAATTGGGTGGCGCACTACTTCTTACCTATCATAGTGACAAAAAAGGGCAAAACTAACTTATTCTGGTAGCATGGCTTTGGGGAAAAGATCTAATAGATTGTTGGTGGTTAATATAAAATGGTTCAAAATATAAGAGGGGGCATTTGGTAATATCAAAAAGATTACATAATCATTGATCTTTTGACCCAGGAATTCCACTTACAGAAATTCACTTGGAAGATACTTGTTCAAGGATATGCATATACAAATATAAAAATACACATGCACAACTCTCTCTGACATTACTTGTAATAGCCAAACTTTGGAAACAACCTAAATGCACATCAATAAGGGACTGGTTGAATTAGCTATGGTATAAGCAACTCAGATGGCTTTGAGAGCAGTTGATCAATTCTGTAAGGCATGAAGGGATAACATCTACTCCGGCTTTTTTTTAACATGAAAGTATTTTATATGCAAACATATTCTGAGAACTGAATCAAAATAAGGAATACATTAAAATTACTACCATACCAGAATATCAAGAACATTATGTATACATTGCCTTTTACTTACGGTTTACAGTTTTGATTGGTAGTATTGGGTTTACTCTTTCTGGGGAGGCAGCATTTTCCTCATCTGTCACATATTCAAAATTAATGATAAACATCATGGCGACGCCCTCTTGGTTTTTCACTGGAATTATGTGAGTATTACAAATGAAAGTGGACCCTGTGGAGGTGAAAAATGAATGTTAGGTCAGAAGTGTCAGTAGTAACTCCCTTTAAAATTTTCTATCTTACATGACCACTGAAATTCAATTAAAATTTTTTATTTTACATTTTGTTGTATATAAATTTATCTAAAAAATGCACAAATTTTGCTAGAAAGACTTTACAAATTCAGTCACTAGATTGTAGAAAAGCAGAATATCAAATCTCATTTGTTTTCACACCCACTACTATAATAATTAGTACAAAAAAACAAAAAGACACATACTTTAACTTTCTAGATGTAACTCTTAGACTTTCCTTTCTATTTTGATTAATTCTGAATCCATATAAAATATAGCTGTATAAACACATACATTTTCTGTCATCTAGATTTTAGTGTTAAGAAAATTATTTACTTTTTCTCTTTCAATACCTTGAATATAAAATAGTGACTTAATGACTGTTTTAAAAGTATTCCAGTAATTCTTTCCTTTGCTGTACAAAGTTCACAATGCCCACATTATAATGGTTTTGTTTGGTTTGCAATGTTAGAAAATAAGAACAAAATTCTGTCTATGTGATTGTGTTAATTTGATCCCTTCAACCAAGAAGATAAATTTTAAAAGCACAATTATAGGGCATACAAGATACACTGTAGTAGAATCTTCTAGAAATGAAATGAACTAGGAATGATTCATTTATAATTAATTGCCACCACACACCCTTCAACAGAAGACCCCAGGTTCAAGGTTCAGAGAATACAGTCCAGATGTTGACTTTTTAAAAAATCAACTGACTTCTGACTGACTTCTTGGACTGACTTATAGAACTGAGTATTTCCTCAAAGCAGTTTCCTCACATCTTTATCTTCGGAATATTTTCCCTAGTCATGGTGATGGAAATCTCAAAGGTTAGGCATTTGTTTGGGGTCAAGATTATTGTGTTTTTAAAATGCAAAACTTCAGGGAGAGTTCTTAATGTCTCAGGCAGTACAGTGTATTTCGATGGTGTTCTTTTAACATCTGGCTGGGACCACGTGGAATCTTGAGGAAAGTGATGGTTCAAGGCAGAGGCGGAACAGGTTGGAAGCAAGAAGGGTTTGGCGTGGGACTTCAGAGGGAGATGTGCGAAAGTGAGATGACATCAAGAGACCGGGACAGAGACCAGAGCAAACAGCAGAAGAATGTAGTTGGGTCCCCAACATCTGCCAAGGCCAATTGATCCTTCTGTCCCAAAACGGTGTGTTGTATTTATGTTCTATTAAAGACAAAATAAATGTGAGAAAACTTTTTCTTCTCATGCCTGCATAACATGGCTCCTTCTGCCAGAAATGAGAACAAAGATGATTGCTAATATTGTTACAGATTGAAACATCACAGTTGAAGGGTGTGGGCCTGGAGATCTAATTATTACTTATGAAACTATTTCTGTGGGTGAACATATTCTAATTTTTAAAGCTGATTTACAAATGTACTTTTAGAACATTGATTCTTTGTAAGGTGGGGATGCCTACATGCTAGTTATGCTTTGAATTTTCAAATGTGGATAGCCTCCCGGATTTGAAATGTAGAAGATATTATTTATAATTAACTTCATATTTTCTATAAATGTGACCTTGGCTTTACAGATGTTGGAATGGATGTTTTGGGAGTGACATGCAGCATTCTCACAGTCTTCAGATATCTCTTTGAGTCATTTTATAAAGTAGTTAGCTAGAGCACTTGTCATAGTTTCCATGGTAACAAACAGGATGACTTTAGTAAACAGAAAATAAGCAATTTAAGGCTGTTCCATTAGAACTAAAAATAGAATTGCTTCAGACCAGACATCTCAATACAAACTGGCTAAACGGAGAATCTGAGGAAATGTTGGAAATAGTCATTATGTATTTTGCTAATGAATGAAAATACATATTGATATTACCACTTAAAATGACATTTCCTGGATCATTTAGAATATCATTGCCAATTCACAGATTTGTTATTTAGTGGTTTCAAATCTTAGAACAATTGAAGTATATCGCTGATTGTATAACAAAACATAAAGCACAGATTTTGGAAAAATCCATAAAAACAGTTGTGATGATGGAGAGCCAATAGGTCTGTAATAGAGCAGAGTAATTTTGCTTTCAGTATTAAGGGGCAAAATCATGTCTTTCAATACTAATGCTTGTAAATTTGCTGTCTAGGGCTAAAAATCATAAAATTATAGGGCTTTATAAAAAAGTTCAGCTATAGCATTGGCTTGTTAGCATATTAAATAAGCATAATTAATCTGGGATTTACTGCCCACTGTTATTGTTTCCTGCATGTTTCTATTAAGCAGTATATCTCCTCTAAAGTTAACTGAAGACACACATTTACATTTTTTTTCCTCTTTAAGTTTTTGGATTTTATGTCACTATCAATCTTGCATCGCTGCTGGAAAGCAGATATTGAGAGGAGATACATGGAATTTAGAAGAGGAGGAGAATCAAATACATTGCACAGAACTAAAACATATTTTTAGCTGTGTAACTTTACAAACTCCAAGTTCTGTCAAGATACTACTTTTATGAAGTGACATAACCCTAACAAGTCATTACCGTGTGTTCCTGAATATTTTTCTTGAATGCAACACTGGGGACAAGGGAAACGGAAATATAATCCAGCAAAAATAGCAATGAAAAAACTAGACACATTCAATAATGTATAAATAAGAGATCCATCGAAATCTAGAAATGAAAAATTCAGGCCTTGTTAAGATGGATCATGTATTCAAATGAAATTAATAATGAATGCTGAGAAGAAGCTTATCTGCTATGAGATCATCCAGTAATTATAAAATGATCATGCAGTTATAGTAATAATATATAGTTAGACTTAGGTTCATTTGCATGTTTTGTGTCCTGAGTGAAAACATTCCCAAGGTGGAAAGCCTGCTGAGGAGGAACAGTGCTCATTTTAATAAAATGTCTGGAATGTTCATTTTTAACTATAGCCACAGAATGAGCACACTCAGGGTAATCTGAATGATTCGTCACTTATCAATGAATTGCTGGCATACTCCTAGCTGCATTTTAAAATAAAAGGCCAGGTGTGCTCCTTTTCCTCTACTTTAAAGATGTTTCATGCCACTGTTTGTACTCTGTTACTCTAAAACCTAAGCCCTCTTCCCTTCCACCTGGAGGGAAAAAACAGCAGCCAGTCTGTGGAGAAGGTCAAGGGCAGCAGGCTGTAGCTGGGTCCCCACTGCACTCTGACTTGAGGGAGGTTCGGATTGGGATTTTAGAACTGACACTGTTTTTATAATTGGAAGTTGCTGGAAGGGAAGGATGTGCCTGATCACCGTCTAAAGACAGTGGTCAATTACGCTAGTGAATACAGTTTAACGGGATGACAAAAACACAAACAAGCTGCCTTTTTTCACAGGCTGAGCTTCGCACTGTCGAGTAGAACTCAAGCAGGTGTAAGGCTCTTAGAACAGTACTTGGCATGGAGTGAAATTCAATAATTTGAGCTGTTACTTTTGCGTCTTGTTGGAAGGTCTCCAGAGGGGCCTCTTGACTCTCATGCTTCTCTCTGTAATTTCCTCCAACGCTCTGCCATTCTTGGAACCACATGTTCCACTGTTGGTTGGCATTCTGGGGCACTAAGCGAAGATTATTTTTCTCTGAGCTGATTGGTTTAGTGAATACCCGGGAGTTTTTAATTCATTTCTTTCTAGTAGACTGTGGTGCCCTTTGAAGATGAAAAAATACCACTAGAGATCTACCCTAGAAGAAAAATAAAGCAGTCAGAATACAAATGCCTCATCACAGAGGCAGCATTGCTCATCTTAAATTGAAAATCTTATTAAAAAAGCAACGGGGCTGGTATGCCTCCTTGGAGAAAGTTACCCAGCCGTGAATGACTTAATGTGGATCCACAAGGAAGTAAGTAATATTGTGCTTCTCTTTTCTGCATCTACTGTTTCCTTTCTTTCTTTCAGCACTTTTCTCATCTTCTTCTGCTCTCTTCAGGCTTCCAAGGTGAAATATTATGAACTTCCTCTTATCAAGGAGGAACATCACGACATACATGACTTTCTTGTTGAACTGTTAATGACATAATGGATTACCACTCTCAGAAGTTTTTAAGGAGAGCAGTGAAAAACAATTAACCCAAGATAAACTCTAATTATAGACTCTAGGTAGAAGAAATAGTTTGCTTGTGTGGATAAGACCTTCCAGATAGCCCTTGATTCGTACCATGTAAGTAACTGCATGCTGATATCGATGTCACTCTTGAACAAACTGTGGCCCAAAGAACAGGAGAGGATCATGACAGGGCCTTGGAACAGAACTGGAAGAAATTTCTATGATTGGAGAGTGGGTCTGATATTGTTTAGCCATTTGGTTATTTTTTAACAGATATTAGCCCAGTCCTGAAAAGAGAAATAAACACAGCAGGGATTTCATCCTCACTCATAATCCACTTCCAGAAGTCATCCCAAGGTTTGTAGAATAACAGAGCAGTGAAAATATTCCATTCACAGCACATTTATAACCAGACTATAAGCTCCCCAAAGACAAGATATTATCAGCTTATCAACACATGATGAGAACCAATACATATCTGCTGAATTAATAATCACTCCTTTTGCCTCTCTGACAGTGAGATGATTCATGAAAAGCTGTCAACAGGAGGTGACCTCTGAGCTAAAACAAACAGCACTTGTGCCTGTGGTGGGGAGTAGCCTGTAGTCTTAAGATGGATTTTTGAGTTAGAGAGCTGGCTCCTAAACTTGACAGATTATTTAGCTTCTCTGTGTTCTGGTTTCTTTTTCTGTAGATTTAGGTCAAATAGTATCTATCCTTTAAAGTTTGAGCGCTAAATGAGAGGATACATTTGGAATGTGGTGCCTAATACATAAGAGACATTCAATAAATGGTAGCTTATGGAAATGGGACATTTTAACATAATAGGTAGATGTAGAAAATGGACATGCCCAAAGTATTACTCTTGTAAGAGCCCAGGAAGTGCTAGCCCTAAGCTTTTG